AGGAAAAACCAAAGTATTTTTATGTTACCTTATACATGTGTCCCAAATAGAGTGGGATTGCATGGGTAACTTTCTTATTATTAAAGATAGAGAATTGGTTAAATGGGCAATGTTTTGCAGTTTTGGATGCTTATTTAAAATTTCCTTATGGAAATTCAAAATGTCGCATAGGTTCGACGTAAATTCAAAAAACTAAAATTGGTCATTTCGTTGAATGTCTTATATCATCGAAAGTATAAGAGATATAAAAAAAAGTTTTATATAAAAGTGACTGTTTTTGATACGTTTAATTTAGAATTGATGTCAAAAAAAATTCAAAATGGCTACTTTTGAGGAACATTTACCAACTTCCTAAAGTTAAATGGGCGCCATATTAGATTTTTAGATTACTTGATAGATTTTTGAATTCTCTTTTCAACGAGCTATTATAACATAAGATTGAAAATAAGATACCAGTTATATTAACGGTTTTTGTATTTTAATCAAGTAGTCTGTGACGAATAAAAAAAAAACAAAACAAAATCTATTCGAGGCAACAAAACAATGAAAATAATTACACCAGATGTTTAAAATACTGGCCATTATTAGTGAAACACACTTCAAGACAGTTTAGTTTAGGTTTAGTTAAAGATCCATCGAAGATTACCGGTCCAATTACATCACTTCCCATTTTGCCATAAAATACATTAATTTAAAAAAATATTACTTGTTTTCGGCGTGAAACTACAACATGTAGGTTTTCCTGTGACGAGTATTTAGTGTTCATTATGTCGATTTGAACACTTCGCAGTTAGAAAAATGAGATTCATCTGTCCATATAGGTACTCGGACTGGTAAAACTATTAGTTTCGATATTCTTGCGGATAAACCACCTACAAAATGTGACCTGGGACAATGCATCAATGGTAATACATTGTGTAAAATAAAGCAAAGTGTCTTGAAATGTGTTTAACTGGATAATGGCATGACATTTTTCGAGGGGATAGTTTGTAGTTATACCACCATTTGTAGGTATGTAAGTATGGATAATAAGTCAATAAGTGATGTTATAAAAATCAAAATTTTCTAGACCTAATGCTTATATAAAATTTTGTAGGGAGTAGCCCAAACCCCCCCTCTCATGAGTGCGTCCCTGATTTTTTTAAACATCTGATGTAATTATTTTCATTGTTTTGTTGCCTCGAATAGATTTTGTTTTGTTTTTTAATTCATCACAGCCTACTTAATTAAAATATAAAAACCGTTGATATAACTGGTATCTTATTTTTAATCTTATGTTATGATGGCTCGTTGAAAAGAGAATAAAAAATCTATCAAGTAATCTAAAAATCCCATATGGCGCCTATTTAACTTTAGGAAGTTGGTAAATGTTCCTCAAAAGTAGCCATCTTGAATTTTTTTTTGACATCAATTCTAAATTAAACGTATCAAAGACAGTAACTTTTATATAAAACTTTTTTTTATATCTCTTATACTTTCGATGATATAAGACATTCAAGGAAATGACCAATTTTAGTTTTTTTGAATTTACGTCGAACCTATGCGACATTTTGAATTTCCAAAAGGAAATTTTAAATAAGCATCTAAAACTGCAAACATTGCCCGCATTTAACCAATTCTCTATCCTTAATAATAACAAAGTTACCCATGCAATCCCACCCGATCTGGGACACACTGTATATTGGTAACGATTATCGACAACTTTTGTTTTACAACTTTTGAGCTAAGGTTTAATACTTTTTTCAATGGTGACCACCAGCTATTTTACAAAATTTGGACCATCCTGTTACGTTTAGGGTGTTTCGAAATTTCTACTCCGCAACATAAAAGACGAAATTCAAATAAGACGTAGTAAAGTGTAGGTGGTCCGCACTATGATTGCGAAATAAAAAGCAAATTTAATGTACAAAGTATACGTGAAAGTAGAGACATTTTGATTTCGGAAGAACCTAACTAAGTAGGTACACTAACACAGCGGTAAATTAAATATAAAGAACGGTCTAAGAAAGTGAATCGCGATCGCGCAGTTCCAACTTCCAGAAAGCTAGGGGTGTTTGTTGCATTAATAAAAGAGTTATATTATAATAGAATTAACTACAATATTTCGATTTAACTGATGAAATTAGAGTATACCTACACGATTTTAGTACGTGGTTCCTCATTGAATATCAACATATTATATAAAGTAACCATTTACTACTCAAAATTAGTAAACCCAAGCTAAACCTTTGTTTATTTAATAAAAAAATAGAAATAAGTATTGAAATGATCTCCGAATTTCGTACATGGCATGTTTTCTCAATATGTATTAATCGATGATTAATTTTTGTGATGGAATTATCTGTCTTTCACGAATTCAATGGAGCGCAGATACCTTTATATTTGTAATGAATGCCTTATAGATGTACTCGTTGCAAAATGAAACTTCAAACTGCAATACGACCGATGCTAACATTGTCCACTATTTTTGGATCAAATTCTGTAAAGTATACTGCACGCGTCGGAGGGTTTAGAGTGTCAAAAAAAGCTGTGTGGTACTGTTGGATGATTAATATTGCCATTTCTATAAGTTTAATATTGGGGTATGAGTACTCTAATTTGTCAATAGAGGAAAAAAGACGTATAGCCCAAGTATCATTTCCATTCGACATTTACATGGGAATGGCAATTAATGTGGTCACTCCAAGCGTCCGATGTCTAACGGGGAGATTAACAGCGCAAATATTAAATAAAATGGTTAAAATTACAAATCGGCTCCAAATTTTGGGAGAAATTGACTCACATTCGGGAATATTTACGCTTTCTTGTGTTGGTTTTCTTTGTTTTTTGCTAGAGTTTTGCTTTATAGCAGTTACCGATATTATTTTGCTGTTTGAATTTGAATTAACAGAAGCGAAGATAGCGCTAACGCTTTTCTTAAATTTTAACATTATACTTTATGGAATAACTAAATTACAGTTCTTAGTATTTCAAGAAGTTATCTTCAAGCTTTTCTTGAAAATTAATGAAGTTTTAAAGGCTTCTGCTGGAAACATAGCCACAAGTTCGTGGAATATTCGTGGGAATAAGGAAGGTATGACACTTTACTTCCTAGTTAAATACGAAATCTTATAGCTTGCAATATAACCATGATCTCTAGGCAATTCCCAAGCGAAAAGGATCGCCTCACTCCACCAGATACACAACATTCTCTGCGACATTTATTCCAAACTACCTTGGATTTTTGGAGTTGAGATATTGCTCATGCTGGGTATTGCGGTGCATGTCACCTTAAATGAATTATACTACTGCTACGAATTAATAAGGGACGATGAGGATAATTTGATTTTAACTTTATACGTAAGCCTTCAGTGGACGCTTTGCCAACAAATTGAAGTTTTTTATTTGGCGAGATCGTGCAATAAGATATTTATGGAGGTAAGGGGCAGTAAAATGATTACCCCGATTTCACACAAAAAGCTCCCGACAGATGTGCATTCGTTTCAATTTGCACTTTCTTGTATTACTACATCACTTTTCCACACACTACCTATATCCTGGAAAGAGCACAGAAAATGCACATCTATTCCTTCTCGTACAACTGTCAAAATATGAGAATGTTGCATTGCAAAATACCTGTTGTTTATTGTTTTAGACTCGAAGGACGACATACTATGTCCACGACCTACAAAATACTGTTGATAATAGTGAAGTACAGGAATCTGTAATATTTGGTTTTATCTTAAGCTGATTTTAACTTTCTTCTTTCAGCTAAAACATTTTTTATTACAATTAAAACATAGAAGAATCTATTTTGCTCCTTGTGAACTATTTACATTAGATTATCCGCTACTATTAACAGTAAGTGCTATAGATATCCTACACTAGTGCTGCCATAAACACACCACTTTTAGATATATGGCACAATTTTTTTTTATTTGGGTATAATGATTCAATACGATATGGGAACAAGAATGACATAGACTTGTGTTTATAGAACAACAGTTTGTAATTGTTGACTGAACCATCAAAATAAAAAGTCTATTTTAAATATTGTGTTACGTAATCTTCAGCATGTTCTTTAAACCGCCAGCTACCCTTTCTAAGGGGAAATGGTAGAGTTTCCGTCTTATTAAGTTATTACTAACTACGCCCGAGTGGAAAGCGGACTATCATAAACTAATAAGGGTACGGTCCAAAATTTACTCGAGTTACTGTTTTTACTGAAAGTAATTTTGTGGCGGTTATAAAATTGCTGATATTTACTGCGAATGCTTCTTTAAAATCTTGCAACAATCAATACGCATGCGTGAGATATACTGCGAAATACTCAACTCATGTTGCTTCTACCAATTTGGTGGTAAAAGCTGAGGAAACTGAGTAAAGGTTGTAGTAAACATAAACAATGCAATTGACACTGTGAATCAGAATATAAATGCACTACATTTTCTAAATAATGCTGCATCGTGACTAAGGGAACTTTCCTTCTACGCAAATTTGTTACTGCAATAAACTCTTCATCATCGGAGCTACTGCTTTCTAATATACTTTGGATAACGTTATGCAGAACAATAAATTCATCAATGTCCCCCATTTCGGAATAACAGTAAACAAAATGATACCGGGTGATTCATTAGAAGTGATGATCGCTTGAATTTCGCGCGTAAGGTTTTAGTATTTTTTGCATTATTAGATAGATAGAACGGTTTGAATTTCGCTAGTGACTGTCATTTAAGAAACCAGTGTCGCCGTTAATTGTTGTGTGCTATTTGCGGTTTATTACTTTTTCCACTTTGAACAATTTTTAGAGTTGATGCACTAAAATATGTAAGAAACATAAGAGTGTAATAAGTAACTGAAAGCATGATGATACACCACTGCAATTAAATAAATGATCATCAGTTAGTACCAACCTCATAATTTTTTTGATTTGCGGGAAATTCAAATTGTCCTCACTTCTAATGAATCACCCGGTATAATAAAGTAAACAAACAAATGCGAGGTTAGAATTTGCTCATGATCCTGACGTTGAGCTAAAGATCAGTTAAAAAAAAATTTACTGTAAGCATTTGTAGTAAAATATAATTTTAAACCGAGTTACTTCAATTGCAATGCTCCGAATGCACGTAAATTGTAGAGTAAATTTTCGACCGTACCCTAAGTAATGTGAAAAAAAAGAAAATATAAATACACTTACATTATTCCCTAGGGCAAAAACTCCTTTTAAAAGTTTCACTCGATCAACGTGCTGCCATCTATTAGAAGTTTTGTACAGCTAGTCAACCACGTCTGCGCCGGTAACTGCGTAATCTATACTAACTCGCAACAATAATTTAATTATTGTTATAAACAATAAACATTTGCCCTCATTTTGCAGTTAGTGGAAGGCTGAATTGAAACACCAGAAACTCATATTACTCAAACCCTAGGCCTTTGATGTGCCTGGTCGAGCTCCCCTGTGAATAGAATAGAATACAAAAGGCAATAAGGGAGATTTTAAGCATCGAGTAAAAGGAGTGGCAAGAGAATTAAATTTAACAGGATGATTTGTTTCCCTGTATCATCTTGGGCTACAAATAACTGTAGTGCCTACATTTCTTCTTCGTCTCCTACAGGCTGCTTCAAGTATGCGGAGTTTGAGCAACCAATGAACAACCCACTACTGTAATTTAGTGTTCTGGCTTCAAACATTCTAAATAACAAAATAATCTACTAGCTGTTTTATTAACTCAGTACATTATAAATTATAAAGAAGTTTTTCGTGTAAAATAGCTAAATGTAAACTTTCAAGACATTGCAAACACTTAAGGAATGTAGCACATTAATTACAACGAAGTACACAAAATAGACGTATTCTGACCTAATTTACATTCAATCAAAATTAATATTAAAGTATTAACATGAGATTTAGTAACACGTCCTAGACACATTGTTAGGAGGATGATTTAAGCACCAAAAGCAGTTATGTACAACACTATATTATATACCTACTTAAACATATTTACAAAATGATTAATCAAACAATCCCCCAATTCGTTTATTGTCCATTTGGATCTGATGTAATTGGCCTTTTGAATAATAAAATTTGAGGTTCTGAAAAAAAAGCGGTCAGGATATGGAAATGATTACGGCAGCTAAGTATTACCTGGTGAGTGTGTCATATAATGAACCCATCCTTTACTTTGTTGAACTCCAATACTCCGCCATTCATTTTCCGACATTAGGTGAGTTCTTGGTATGAGCTTAAGAAGTTCTTTAGGTAAAACAACATGTCTACAATTAAAATAGTGTTAAGAATCAGTTTTGTCATACAACGTACTGGACATAGGTACTGAAAGTATTTGACATGTATAACGTAATGGTCATTTGCCCTGCGAAGGGAAGCTTAACTTAAAACCCACGGTATTCAATGACTCAATAATCTTCTAAATACTCTTGGGTTAAGGCCCAAAAAAGGGACACTACTACCCTTGTCTGGGGTTAAGTTGTGCTTCAGTTTGTGAAGGGGTGTTCACATTTGCTACACATTGGATAGACATGCACTTGATACAAATACAATTACGTACCTATACTCGTATGTATCATCGTAATATTTATCTGAATAGTAAATTTTATTTACAAGTTCTTCTAATTTTTTTTTTTCGTTCATTGTTAACAAATATCAAAAACGGTTATTCGGCGAGCACAACAAATATGCTTGAGATTCAAACCACGCGCATGCGGTGCGACAACGTACACTTACCAACGTTGAATAGTAAAATTACCAACAGATATCAATGTAAAGGTATGTTTACACATTTTAAATACATAAATTGCCAAAATTACCTATTTCTTCAACAATACCTTTGTTTATTCATTATAAATGTAAACTACAACACTCTTAGATGGTGACAGCGGACACAGTCATAATGTTTTCGTTTATAACGCTACTAAGCCCAAATCTCTCGTTTCTGAAACTTGAGGGGCCCGTACAGATGGGTCACTAACAGGATAGGAACAGGCATGAGCAAGGGTGATCGACTGAGAGCTGACATCGGCTTCTCCCTTGGTCAACGAATAACATGTTTTAGGCAGACATGTTAGCCTATGTGACCTATGTGCATAATGTAATAATAATTCGAAAATATTTATATGACTTTTCACGCACACGCATAGTGGTTTGGTACGAATTAATGCTCTATCCAATAGTATGGACCTGTAATCAATTTCAGTAAACCTGTCCACAGAATACGGCCTTCTCAGAATAGAAACAGCAATGTTACAAATTTGTATGGTATTTTGGCGGACCCTGGTGGGTGTACTATGCATCAAAATCAGAGTAGCGCCATCTGGTGACCAGCTTCTAAATCCATGAAGTAATTTCCCCAATTCGATCTAAATCACAAATATAGATAAAGAATACACAGTTGTTAAATTGCAAGTATATTTAGATACAATCACATTACATTATTTAACACAGACATCTTAAATTACATGTTTACAAATTACATATAAAACTCAGAAGTAAGTGCAACTTACGCTTTGTAGAAGTTAACACCTTGCAAAAAGATCCTTACGTAACGAGTTGCCCTACGAAATATTTGGTTTTAATTGCTGTTTGGACTACATATTTTTGTCAAAAAATATCTTTAGAACTAAATTTTTTGTTCCAAGAGGTGATAAAACCGTTTCAGCAAATTGTCACACAAGTTTTTGGCAACAAATGTTAACTTGATCCTGGTGCTTACTGGTTAGTTGAGAAGCGAGGGTGGAAGTTGTTGAATTATCTAAAACGAATTACAATATAAGTATCTACATCTATATAAATATAAAACTCAAGTCTACACCCTTTTGCGCCTATAGGTACAGTTGGTAATAATTCTGCGTCAATTTGTACCTGTTACCTACCTTGCATAAATAGGAAAGAAATAACAGCACATTTCAACCCTCTTCGCGTTTCAAGCACAAAACAAGCTGTTTCAAAATGTGGGAAACGATGCCTTTTTGATATTTTATTGTTACAATCCGACACACAACACTTTTTATGGTCACATAACTTGGTCATATTTTAAATCTTTCAAAAGTCAAAATTGACATGTGGAAAACCTGTGTACGTATAAAATCGACGGTAAAAATATTTCCTGTAACGAGCAAAATTACAGGTTTTGCAAAAAAATATTTGAGTCTGCGATAAATAGTTCTCCGTACAACCGCGGGAAACGCTGTAATCAGTGACAATTTAGCGCCATTTATGTTTCTGTTCTGTGAAGGTCTTATTCTGTGAACCTGTCTTTAAATAAAATTAAATATAAATCGCATGCGCCTGCGCCTCATTTAAAAAATTAAACTTTTGTTAGTGGCTTCACGCTTTTGCAGAATAACCGTTATTGTGCTTTTGTGTAATTATTTGAATAATTTAGGATAATGAATGACAAATTAGAAGACCTCGCAAATAAAATTTACTATTCGGAAAAATATTACGATGATACACACGAGTATAGGTAGGTAATTGTCAGTTTCACATTTTTTGTGTGGTCAATGTCAATCCAACCTAAACATCTTAACTCGTTTTTCAACAAATTGATAAACTCTGCAACTCTCATCTTCCTTTCAGTGTTAAATTTTTTGTAAATGTGTAAAGTTGTGGAGAGAAGTGAGAGAAATGCACTTAGAAATACTTATATCACTAAACATGGGACAGAGGTACTCCGCTTATTTGAAGCTTCGAGACCAACAAACTTTTTTGTACAGAAGCACACGCATGTGTGTTGAAATTTATGTGTATTTTACTTGGTACTGGTTGCCGAGTTTAATGGATAAAACTACTCGAATTTAGACATGGCTGTGTAGTAGAAGACGAAGAATTATGAAGGGCATTTCATCAAGCATAACGAATCATTATGACATAGTCATATTTTTGTTAAATCAAAAATAGCTATAAATCTCGAGTGAAATGTCTTTTTCATTTTTCAACCTGAGTTACATTTTAAAAATGTTTGTTTTTGTGCTTTTTTATACAAAATACCTTTATTTTAGGCATGTGGTTTTACCCAAGGAACTTTTAAAACTCGTACCGAAAACTCATCTAATGTCTGAGAAGGAATGGCGAGGTATTGGAGTACAACAAAGTAAAGGGTGGGTTCATTACATGATCCATTCACCAGGTAACTTACTTCTTACAAAATCCCACCTTTTACTAAATAACTTTTTTCAGAACCTCAAATACTACTATTTAAAAGGCCAATAACTTCCTATCCAAATGGTGAAAATAAATAAATGGATGTTTCGTTATTAATTTTGTAAATAAATATGTTTATATTGTTTTTATACATTTACCATTTTCGGTGCTGACTTTGTTCAGGAATATTACTGTTTTAATGTTATTGCAGAACTACTTTCTTGTTTAGAAAAGACTTATTTAGGTTAGCGTGAGTAAATTATCTCGTTTTGTAATTGTCTTATTTTTTACATGATTTTATTATGCTGGTTGTAACTGCTGTGTCAATGTATTAATCACAGCAACACAAACATTTCAATTTTTATAAATACCTACATAATCTACTAACCTGATGAAAAATTGCTTGATTTTTTTACTTCTTCATGGGGATCTTGAGAGCTATAATGATGCCGGTGGCAATAGGGCAAACTTATTTAATTGAAAATGGTATCTTTCACTTATAACAATTAAATGCATTTTCCTTATTAATTATATGGTTATTTACAATTGTAGTGTTCCTTCACATTAGGCAACATTGCAGCGCTGCTGAGCAGTGAGGCGGGAAGCAATGTCTTGAAAGGTCGATATCTTAAAGAAGTTTTTAAGATATCGATTATTCTAGTGCCATATGTTGATATTTATCAATACCCAGAAAATAATGCAATACTTTTCGATTACAACACATGTAGAAAAACAAGTGCTCAAACAAGTGAATGTAGGTGTATTTTGGGATGTTGTTGTAGTACCTATATTAAATTTTTTTTGGGATATACTAAACAGGAAGAATTTAGAAATAAAACATTATTTCCTAAATCTACAATGTTAAAAATCAGGATCAAATTCGGCTTTGTACATTAATTTTTGAATTTCTATTTTTAATTTAGCTTGCTTTCTAGAATCTAATTGTTTTATACTATGAGCTAATGAGACACAATAATGATCAACTGGGTCTAGATGTCCACAAGTTGCACAACCACTAAATGTCGACTGTATTTTTTCAGTGCACGTACGTTTGGGACTAGGCATTGCAGTCCTATCTTCATTATCTAAAGCGAAATCGACTTCATTAACCTGAATGTGAAACTGTTGAGAGACAGGTTTAGTTAGATTTTTAACAATATGTTGGGAATTGGCGTTAACACTGGCAATCACAATTCTTTCTGCACTGCTGTCACCCTTTGAAGAGAAATTTTCTTCACCGCTACAAGTTGCATTTTCTTCATCTGCACTATCCAGCATCGTTGTGTAGCTGCAATCATCCTTATTTAAAATATTGTGTAACTGGTAAAAGAAGGCACACTCCCTATCAGGATGAGGAAGCTGTTTCCGAAGAGTAGACCAGTACAATGCTTTCGTATTCTTCCACCTCACTAAAATTTGCGTAGGCGATCTGCAAAAACCGTAATTTGCTAAGTACTTGACCGCCTTACTCATTATTCGTCGTAATTGTTTGCCAGTTACTATATTGTTATCTTCGATAAACTTTAAGAGTGTACGAGTTTCTTTATTTGTCCATATTTGCCTGACTTTTCTTGTGGATAATATGTCATACTCCGTGTTAGCATTATCATCGCATTTCGTTTGTTCGTCAGTGACAAAACAATCTTCAGTTTCGGTTTTCGTGCCTCCCTCCTGCGTATACATTACAGATTTGATTCGATCAAAAAAAGGAAATTCTTCTGCCTTTAATGTTTTGCGAATCACTTGATTGTAAAGCGCTTTTAAGCGTTTGATTTTTACTTGAGTTTGTTCTTCACTTCTCAAGAAACCGTGTTCTTTAAGATACTCTACCGCTACTGAGCAAAACTTCCTTAAATTTGTACGATTAGGCATTCCATACTTTTCAAGGACTTCGATAATGCAATCTGTTTCTTGATGTGACCAAATGTTTCTCTTCGTCGAGTTACAATTTTGGTAGTTGGACGATTTGTAGTCACGGTCTTCTATAAATATCATTTCTGTTTCTTCGCACAGCAGAGGACTCAGTTTCAACATTAGCTCATCGGAAAGTTGTGCCGACTTGTATTTTTCTTTCAACTTTAAACAAAACGATTTGATTTCCAATTGAGATTTTGTAAAACCACTAATTCTCATTAATTTAGATAATGTCAGATACGTTTCGTCGTTTTCTATTTTTAATTGTGGAAAAAGATCATCATTTGAAAGTAACTGCAATAGGTAATTCGTTTCTTCCGAGGTCCATTGGCAATTTTCTATTTTGCAATTTGAAAAACAGCTTGGATTGGATTCGGATTGTCTATCGGACTGTAACAATCGGATCAGTTCTGTATTGTTTTTCAAATCCTGCTCGATGATTTCGTCAGCCATTTTCTTTGTAAAGCGATTGGTATGGTCTTCGAGGGTATGATTGATCATGAAACGTTAACTTAGTGGTTGCTCCTATTTTATAGTATATTTGAACAGGATAATCTCTACAAATGTAATTCAATCCCTTTCAAAATACTGAAATCTGAGTGGTTTCCATGGAAGTATTATCATAACAGTAGTTCATATCCTCACCAATAGAGGACACGTTTGGTCAGTATATGTACAGAGTGATTATCTTAAACTTATCTTACATACAAGCTAAAAATCCGATGAATGTCACTTGATTGTTGAATGACGAGCGTGCTAACGTATTTCAGACGCTGTATATTAACGAAGCATTACACACCGATTTTATTTAACCTGAGCTGAGCCACGATTCGTGGGATAATATAGGTTAGGTTATAGTTTTACGTTTCTCTAGTCCTAGTTGTGTTTATATTTGTATTTTATTCTTTAACTATTCCTGGTAATGCCTCGACATCGGTAAGATTATTAAATGATAGATTAAACGAGCAGTAATGACATTAATTCTGTTAGGTCTCTCAGTATTAGTCCCAGAAGGTCATCAAAATCTAATTACAAAGACCATCATAAATCCAGTGGCAAACATAAACATTCTTCCTCTTCCTCTTCTAATTGTGACCAGAATTCCAAGAAAGTAAAGCGCAAATCTCGTAGAGACTCATCAAGCGACTCTACTGATAGCTCAGATTCTGACAATTCATTAAAGCTGTTGGAAAAACTAAAAAATGAAAGGATTAAGCATGTGGAGGAGCGTAAACGACAAAAGGAGTTTCTGAAAGCCACCGAAACACCCGAAGAGAAAAGGTAGTAAGTGTTCAATTGTTTAGGTCAGCTAAGTGTAAACACAATTTTAGATTACGGAGATTACTTAAAAAGGAAGCAAAGGAACGTAAAAGAAAGGAATTAATGGGGTGGGATAACGAGTATCTGCATTACACAAACGCGGACAATCCCTTCGGTGACGCTAATTTGTTGTCGACGTTTGTATGGAGCAAGAAAATGGCGAAGGAAGGTTTGGTTGGCGTTAGTTCGGAGGAATTAGAGACACGAAATAAATACAAGCAAGATGAAAATAAAAGAGAACTAGAAAAGGTTTGTGTCATAGCTTTATATCTAAGGCAGCAATTATTTTGTTTGTTGTAGGTTAAAAAGAGACGTCTCGAACGTGAACAGGAGAGACAGAATAGGGAAGAAGAAATGCAAAGGTTGCAAAGAAGTAAAGAGGCCGCACAGTTTGAGGAATGGGAAAGGCAGGAAGATAAGTTCCATTTAGAACAGGCTAGGTTACGCTCGCATATTAGAATACAAGACGGGAGAGGTAAATACAATCGCCAATTTTTTCTGTATGAGGGCTGTATGTCTACTTTTAAATGACAAAATCTTTGTAAGTGCTCCTAATTTTAGGCAACCAAAATAACCTTTTAAAACGAAGAATTTAGAAACTCTATTGTCGCTACTGCCCGTATAATATCACTGTAATGATGAATCTTTTGCAGCGCTATCTCTTGTACCTACAAATTTTGATTATTTCAGAAATCACTCGTCTCATCGTTTTATCTCTTAGCCACAACCCTAATTGCATAATTTAAAAATATTAATGATACAAAGGATCTTATTTTAGCTAAACCAATTGATCTACTGGCAAAGTACATAAGCGCAGAAGAGGAGGTCGACGCCGTAGAAATGCATGAACCGTACACTTATCTTAACGGTCTTCACATTAAGGATTTAGAAGATCTGATTGAAGACATCAAAGTGTATCAAGAACTGGAGCGGGGTAAAAATTTGGATTATTGGAATGATATCACTGTAATCGTCGAAGATGAACTTCAAAAGTTGCGGAAATTACAGCAAGAAAATGACTTTGACACTGGAATAAGCCGACGAGAAGGCATTCACCAATCAGTTGCTTCCGACGTCACGCAAGTGTTTAAGGGCAAAACCACTTCTCAGTTAATAAATTTGCAAATACAAATTGACAAGAAAATACACGGGAAGACAGACGGCATTGATATCGGTTACTGGGAATCGCTTTCGTCACAGCTGAAAGGTGAGAGATTTCTTATTTGGTTTGCTCACCTTAATATAAACATTATAGCGCATATGGCAAGGGCGAGATTACGAGATCGGCATCAAGATAATCTCAGACGTAAACTTCAAGTAAGTTCTTTGAGTTTCACACGAAGTATCTTTTACAATATTGTGCAGGTTTTGAAAGCAGAACAAGCAGTTGCAGCTTCGAACGTTGATACTGTTGAAACTAACGAGGATTCTGAAGATGTTGCTTCGATAAAGATCGAAGAAGAACCGGAACCAAGTTGTAGTAAGGAGCAGGAGGAAGAGGTGGAGGAAAGTGATCGCGAGGAGTAAGTTTATTTCGCTTACAATGTGTATTTCTCATTCTTTTAAATTGCAGACAACCAGAAGAACAAGACGGAGAAGAAGAAGACGAAGAGAACGCCGAAACTGTGTTACTAAATGAATGCTTTGCATCTTACACAAACGGAGGATACAGTCCTAAATTTCTGTCGTGTGACCGTTTGGAACCGGGTACAATTGTTGTTAGTGAGGAGGATGATTTGAAGAGATTAGAATTCGCCAGAGCTCAGGTTTCCAACTCCGGAAAGAAGGTTGATGTAAGTGCAAACTGTGTTTGTGTCGGCGAAGATCATACTATACTAGATCCTTTTATAATGATAATAATAATAATGACTTTATTTGGACACACTATGACAAATATACACGGTGTCCATTTTTCGAGTGCCACTATGGGGATCTCACTTATCTTAAGAGACAGAAAGTTGGTTAAATGGGGGCAAAGTTGCCAATTTTCGCGCTGAATAAGAATCTGAAAAGACATTTTAAATATATCCAATAGTTTTGAAGATATCTCAAAAAAACAAAAATTTCTGATTTTCGTTTTTATTTTTTTTATGATAAACTAATCGTAGTAGACATTTCTAATTAACACATTATTCGGACACTTTTTAATGGAGATTTCAAATATGGCATCCTGTTTTTAATAACTCTCCAGATGACGGAGAAACACGTGGCAACTTTAGTTTTTCTTATGGGCGCCATTTTGAATTTTCACATTTTGAGATTACGTCTTTTTTTCTCTTTACAACGATATATCACACATGGTGGTTCAGTATCACATTTTTCCTAAAAATACAATTTTTAATTTTTTGAGAAGAGTGCTTTGGAAAAACAAAACGTTCTTTTGTTGTGAACAAAAGGTTGACTTATTTCATGTAGTGTCATTTAGGTTTATGCTAGTTGTATTGCGAAAATGCCTTTTTCAAGTGCAGATCAAAGAGATAGGTATGATCCAAATTTACTACACTTCTCATCGAAATGCCCACATGACTGCTGCAACATACTTGCAGCGTTATCCAGAGGGGCAACAACCTAGTTTGAGGTATTTTTCTTTGCTGCATAAAAACTTGGGCGAATGTGGTTCTTTTAAAAGATGTAGACAGCAATATGGTGATAGACCCAATTAAAATGAGCAGGCAATTTGGCAACCAGTTGAGATGAAAATCTAATTTCTACTTCTCTGACAACGCTGCAACCAGACATGGATCAAACTGTCAAACTTTTGTTGACAACAAAAGAACGTTTTGTTTTTCCAAAGCACTCTTCTCAAAAAATGAAAAATTGTATTTTTAGGAAAAATGTGATACTGAACCACCATGTGTGATATATCGTTGTAAAGAGAAAAAAAGACGTAATCCCAAAATGTCAAAATTCAATATGGCGCCCATAAGAAAAACTAAAGTTGCCACGTGTTTCTCCGTCATCTTGAACGTAATTAAAAACAGGATGCCATATTTGAAATCTCCATTAAAAAGTGTCCGAATAATGTGCTAATTAGAAATGTCTACTACGACTAGTTTATCATAAAAAAATTAAAAACGAAAATCAGAAATTTTCGTTTTTTTGTGATATCTTCAAAAGTATTGAAGATATTTCAAATTTCTTTTCAGATTCTTATTCAGCACGGAAATTTGCAACTTTGCCCCCATTTAACCAACTTTCTATCTCTTAAGATAAGTGAGATCCCCATAGTGGCACTCGAAAAATGGACACCGTGTATAAACAATACCACTATTATACATACAACTTGGCGTCCAAAAAGCGAAGGCTACTATGTATAATCCAGGTATTTTTACATTTCTGCACCCATAGATGGGTAGATAGAGAGAAGTCTGTTTTTGTTAACGCATAGTAGTGTTAATGCCTAAGTTAAGGAAGGTGGCATTACAGGTACGTTACGGTATGAGTTTTTACAGTACTTTACTCAAACAATGATTTCGAATATTTTCTTTGGCCTTTAGAATGTGAAATAAATATGTCTGTCTGCTTGACGAGGACGACTCATTTATTTTGGGTTTTTAATGGTGGCGTTCACATGCGCAATAAAGAAATAATGACGAATTCATGTTCTTGAAAGACTTAATATGTAAATCTCCCTAATTGTGTTTTTTTAATTTAACGCAGTCACGTAAATTCACCAGAGACATTGATTTCTGATTAACACTTGTCATTTTAGAATGTACTAACCAAAGAAGATATTATGTTACAACGAGAAGCCAGGAAAGGTATGGGCGAAGATGAAGCTCAATTTTCGGTCGAGGCCGCTTTGGACAATCAAGTTTATCTGTGGTCAGATAAATATCGCCCCCGGAAACCTCGCTACTTCAACAGAGTGCATACAGGTTTCGAGTGGAATAAGTATAATCAAACTCACTACGATATGGATAACCCTCCGCCTAAAATAGTGCAGGGCTATAAGTTTAATATTTTCTATCCCGATCTTATTGATAAGGGCAGTACTCCTGAGTATTTTTTGGTATGTATCTTTTATTATTGTATCACAATCTTTAAGTGTTATGTTACAGACTCCATGTGCAGACAACAGAGAATTTGCTATACTTCGGTTCCATGCTGGACCACCGTATGAGGATATTGCTTTTAAGATAGTTAATCGTGAATGGGAGTATTCTTACAAAAGAGGATTTCGGTGTCAATTTCATAATAATATCTTTCAATTATGGTTCCACTTCAAGCGGTATAGATATAGAAGATAAATGTAATTTATAGGATGTTTATAAAAAATAAAAAGCTACAATCGTAACAATTATTTCTATTTATATTTATGCTGAATGACCGATTATCTACTCTTGGGTTCTGTTAATATTTAGCTTTGTGACACCCTCGGCCTACATCACTGGAACTAAAGACGTTTACTTGAGTTGTGAGGTGCCCAAGCTTCTACCATCAGGATATTTATTTAGTGAACATTCTTGTGGACTTCTTTGGAATCTTTGTCTACTTCACAATGCAAACTGAGACTGTTCTTTTGTAAGATACTTTTCTGTCCTGATCTGTACTAAATGCTTTTTTCAGGTTCTAATATTTTCCGAATTTTGTGCATTAATAATCTTGCAATATAAATGAATTTGTCTTCTTCCTAAGAGCCTCTTCTCACAAGGCGTTTTTGAAGCGAGGCGAAGTAGCAGGGTACGTGATTGTGGGGCGCGCCTTTGCAGCGTTACTGTGTCGCGGGTGCATCTGCTAAGTCGCGCTACCGAGTGTGAGATGTTTCGCCAGACACCAGCAGGTGTCACCTGTGAAACCGAAAATAGCTGTCGCTTCAATGCATCGAGATGAACGCCGTCCTCAAACTAGCCATTTTTTTAAAGAACGACGGCCGCTGTAGGTACGTATTCTTTCCACACAACAAACTTGTCTTACCTTGCATGGTGGCGTTTCTGAAAATCGCTGCCCGCTACTAGTGGCGCTGCAAATCGCGCCGTGTGAAGGGGTCAGCACGTGTTTGTGTAGCGGATATTTCTCAAGTTCTTAAAATTAAAACTAATTTCAAAAAAGCGCGTTCTGTTTGGCTTTTAGTGCTATCAGCTATCATATGTGGAAAAGGGAACCTCAGAAATTCACAATATTCTAATGTTGAAAGTTGAAGCACACTCGCTTGTTTTTTTTAAATGGACCGTATAATAAACATAAATTTAGCCTTTTAGGTATATTATGTAGAATGTATAGCTCGAAAGAAAGTATTTTAATTTTGTCTGAGCTATATGTTTAATAAAACCACAGATTACCTAACTGATATAAAACTTACCCTTTTCGAGAAAAATAAAAAAAAATTCGTTAACTTAAGTGGTGGAGTTCCGGAGCCTTTGTGACTCAGACAGACATCAAGAGCGCAAAAGTGCACTTTTTATTTTTTGAAAGTGAAAGTGCACTAAAAATCGAAAATTTTTACCTTTGACCATGAATAACTTTTTGGCACACATGAGATCTATGAGGACTGTTGGTCCTATATTTTTATTGGTGTATCCAACGTCTCTACCAAAATTTAGCTATGTCGGAATGTTTGTTATTTGAAATGTTTATTTTAACCGGACTGTGCTCACATATATGTATCTATTGATTGATACTATACCTACTTATCATTGTTACACTTAAATGCAGTTCAAAAAAAGAATTTTTGATTACCTAAGTTCTTTAGTAGTACCAGTTGTACGCATTTAAAACTTTGTTGTCATCGTTGTCATTGGCATGGCACCTGTTTAAATCTTAAAAATTCCCACGCGCGCTAGTCCAGTCCGCCCGCGCGCGTTGTCGAGAGCGGAAAAGCGTTGGGTGATTGCTACTTTTAAAAATCGCAATAACTTTCCAGTTTCCCTATAGTGCCAGTGCAAAAACGGGGTGTGTATCGATGAAGAAAAAACGACGTAACCTACCTCCTATAAAAGTGTATATGTCTGAAATTAATATTTCGCCGCCAATATCTGTTCGAAACGAGGGAAACATGGTAAAGAAAAATTCGAATTTAAAGCTTCAGATAAAACCTAGACCTCCCAAAAATAAGGAAAATAAGAATGATCAAGAGGAACAGGAGGACGAACGTCCTTTAACCGCAACATTAGAAAAACCTCAAATTTTAGACATAAAGTTCATAAACAAAATTGATATGTCCTTAATAAGAAAGGAGTTTTTATGTATAACAAACCTTTGCCGTGCACCACTAACGGTAATCAAACTCCCCAACGAAGGTCCATTAACAGATCGTCCCCTCAGTTTACCCAATTGCATAGTGAAAAAAATCGTCGACGTCGAGCCGCCACGTTCTAAAACAAGTTGCGAGATGAATAAAAAATGCAAATCGCATACGGCCGGACCGAAAAAAGTGCAAAATTTGATAGTGCCGATTAGGAACATAACTAAATCTCCCAGAAGTAATGGCGTTACTAAAAAAACGGAAAACGACGCGTCCCAAAAGCTAATGAGAATTGTTCGTACGAATGATTATAATAAGACCATGAAACTTCCTCAACCTTGCACGACTTGCGGAAGGCCAGATCAACCGGAACGTTTTCACAGCCATCCAGTTGCTACTTCCAAATCTCCACCAAAACCGAATGAAAATATAAAAATTTTGACGAAATCTACTGTCCAAAAGCCGGTCGCAATCAAATACAAATCCAAGCAAAGTGAGAGTAAAGTACAAAAAGTTGAACCGGTGCCGAGGAAGAAGACCGGAAGTGAACGCGCAAAAATTAATTCGAAACCGGCGTCTGGTGTAAAAGGACCTAAGACGTTAATGTGTTATATTTGTGGTAGAGAATTTGGAACAGCTTCGTTGCCGTTACATGAGCCCCGGTGTCTAGAGGTAAGGCAAAACGAATTAGCTTTCACTGTTTAACTAACCCGCTTAAACATTTACCTATATTATGTTCATATGTTGTATAAATTCATAATCAATATTGTTTTGTTTCACATTTGACTCGAAGCGGGTACCTACTTGCGCAATCAATAATGGACAGCCGTTGTCTAAATATAGTAGTATACAACACCTACCCAGCCATGAATCATTCGCGCAAATGCATATTTATGAAATCCGTATTTGGAGATTATTTACTTTTGTACTTATACAAACGATATCCCCTTTACGCATTTGTACATCAGTCTGTACGTCGTGCTGTCGTAGAAATCGTAAACGTGCAGCGAACATGCGTTTATGCTGTCAGGGCCCCACGGGCCACAAAGACCAAAATTTAATCGCTTCTTTACTGTCAGAGTCTGTCTGTGTCCCAATACTTTGAGCTTTATGCATTTCTTAGTTTTTCCCGAAAATTCGAGACCACTCTTGACTACAATTTGTCAGATGTTCCATTTTCTCACCTTTTCTAGAGAGTACTCGTTTTGACATTATCAATATATAAGTCAGTTCCAACAACATTGTTCGCAAAATTTTTATTGATTCATGAGCGATTCTCCGGTTGTTCTTCAGAACTTGCTCCACATTTTGGAAAATACCTATTAAACATTTTCAGCGATCGCTAAGAAATTCTGGAGAAACAAAAACTACAGTAAAAGTGTCTGGTAGAATTTTTTACGGGTTTTTGGAATGGAATTTAGAAAACATAATTGGTGGATTTGGTGATTCCTACGGGGAACTCCATAAAATCGCTGAACAAATCTCTTGGGAATCTATCCCATTCACCGTTAAAAGTCATCCCTTTCTATACACTTACAAAATTTCCACCCAGGATTTCGGAACCCAGTATCGACCCAGATTCGACTCAAAATATATTACCTAAGCTTTCTGCAGACCAACAGTTGCATTCTCTTTATAGAATCTCTGGGAATCGATATATGTAGATAGGGTTTTGATTTTTATTATTTTCGCTCTGCACATACCAGTACAACCATAGTATCGCGCCTTCTTAAAGTCGAAAACTACAAGAACACAACATTTGTATGATGAAATAAAAATAGCACAAAACGATTACAACATTATTACCGGAACCATAGACCTCTACTTTTAATTTCACGGACCCGCATCATAATCAATGGAGTAGTAATTTGGTTTATTTTTATTTTTTCGCTTGCCATACCTACAACATTATCGCCCTACACACGCAAATTTTATTTTACTTTTAGAAATGGCAAAGAGAAAACATGACTTTACCGGCCAATCAACGCATGAATCTACCGAAAAAACCCGACATACCTATGAACAGTGAGCAATGGAATCAACGTGCATGGGAATCGTGCCAAGTAAGAGATATTTTTAAACTTCATTTTTACTTAAACCTTAAACTTATATTTAACATAGAGGATACCATTGAATATTGGATGTTATCATTGTATATATATTATACCTACATATACAGTGATGTTACCTATAACTCAAATGAACGTCTATTTTTTATATAGAATGCCTCTAAGATAAATTTGAAATTATTTCGAAATTTTACAAAATTGATCATTACATAAACATCTATATAGTCCATTAATATACAGTTCAGTAATTGGTGCGTAGAGTAATAACTTGCGCTTTGTTTGTAAGCAGGGCCAATTTTTTCGCACATGACACTCCTTATAAAACCTAAAATGATAGTTGTTGTCGATAATCAGAGCATAAGTTGGAATAATAAGTAAGTACTATTGTTCAATAGACGTTAGCTGCATAGGCAAATAAAATATACGTAGTTCAAAGTGGTGGAATCATCACTGTAACGAAAAAGAAATTATTTGATTTAGGTACTGTCGATATAGCGCCTATATAGTAACTATTGTAATTATAACGATAAAATCAAATGTATACCTATCGATAGAAAAGGGGCGAATGCATGTCGCATGTCATGAAGCTAATTGTGTAGTTCAAGGTTTCAAGGTAAAAAATCAATGTTGTTTATCTGAAACTTACTAGTATTTACACAGTGGAGAGGTGTATATTTAGAAAGAAATTTTCAAGTTTCCGAATCAAATCAGGCATTCCTTTCCAATTTCGTTATGTAAGCATATTGAGTGGGTATACTTTGAAATAGAATAATACAATTTTCGTTTCAAGCACCATGTAACACATGAAAACTATATGTCTACAAATCCCCTGCAAGAAAATAAATGTTCGTCTGTCCATCCACCCATCTATTGTCACATTGTGTACTTTAAAATTAAAACAAAGTATCTATACCCATATATCATAATTGTACCTACATTTACCTAATAAATACAAAATTAACATTTTTTTGGTTTTGTGGTTTCAATTTCAATTTCAATTTAATTATTTCCCTTTGGCATACAACAGTACATAGGACGCGTCATACCGTTCTACTGTATTAGTGTTATGCAAATGATGGATGAAGCAACAAAAAGCATCTTTTGGTGGTAAAACTGAGTGGCTTTTGTAATTTTGCATATACCTAAAGTATTTCTATTTTTCAGGCTTCCCTAGTTCCTTGCGACTCTTGCGGCCGAACGTTTTTACCTGACCGACTTACAGTGCATCAACGTAGCTGCAACAATTCCAAGACCGCGGTGAGTGAGAACTCATTTTTTTGTTCCTTAAATGAGGCCTTCCATTTTAAATAGTATTTATCTATTGCGCCCACCAAACCTGAGACTTTGTACAGTTAAAAAACAAAAAGTATTTACTTAATAAATTTTTAAATTAAAGATTTTATTTATTTATTAAAACTAACAATTTTTAATCGTTATTTTATCGTATTGTTATAATAAGAATAACCTTATGCAATAATAATTCTAACAACACCCAGAGAATCCATACCAGTAGTTCGATTAGGTACCGTCACCTTAGAGGCAGTTTGGGGCACGTTATAGTACCAAAGTGTATGTTTTAATTTTGAGGGTTCAGATATTGTCACTCAAAACATAGGTAGTTAATTAAAGCACTCGACTCCTGTAATCAGCTGCAGCAATTTTAATGTTAAAATGTTTATATATTATTTTTTTCACTACTATACTAGTGATTGAAGTCATCTAAATTAACAGATTACATTGTTACGATAGTGAACCGTTTTACATAATATCTTGTTTATTAGTTTTACATGTCAATCAAGTACGTGGAAAGTACATAAAAGTCAATCAGGCTGGATTTTGTTCTATCATTCACATACAGGGTGGCCATTTGAAAACGAAACAGAGCCTATTTTGGGGACCTCAAAACATTTACGAAAAAATCCTCGGACCCGTCAATTTTTGATCCAAGGGGGAACCATTTTTTTGCTAGTTTCGCCCTCCTGGGGGCAAAGCCATAGCCGGGGTGACAAGTGCCCCCAAAATTTTAAATCGAATGGGGGGTCGAGTGATACCTTATTTTGAAGGTATTTTTATGTAGATTATAACTCTTAAGATTTAAATCAGTTTTATTTTAAGTGCTTAAAGCTAAAATCAATCAAGTAAATGTTGGAAATGTTGGCCTTCGACTTCCATACAATAATACAGGTTTTGTTCAAACCTTTCCCGTACATTTTGCAAAACTTCTGGGGTGATTTGACGACATTCATCAATTATTCTTTGTCGCAAGTTCTCTAGCGACGTTGGCTGACTAGCATAAATTTCAGTTTTTAAATGTCCCCATAAAAAAAATCTAACAGACTTAAGTCCGGGGAACGAGGAGGCCATTCAATAGCTCCTCTTCTTCCAATCCATTGTCCTGGAAACGTTTAGTCCAAATATTGACGAACCCTTGCAGCATAGTGGGGTGGCGCACCATCTTGTTACTATACGATTTTCCAAGTACTCGTTATTTTCTAGTATCTCCACTAATGCTGGATGAATCGTATTTTCTAATAACTTCAAGTACACCTCTCCTGTTAGATTGCCAGGTAAAAAGAAGGGGCCTACGATATGGTTACCAAAAATGCCAGCCCAAACTTTCAATTTTTCGGGACGTTGTGTATGCACCTCACGAAATATTCTGGGATTTGAATCAGCCCAATAGCGACAGGTTTGTATTTGTCAGTACTATTATTTGACAACAACAATTGACAAGCACTATTAAACTTCAAAATGTTGCTATAGTAACGCTCTCAACAATAACCAAGATTTCCGTTGCAGAATTGGCATACCCACCTACAGGTATTAAAAAGAAAAAAACCAACAAAAAGTACGGTTCAGAATGTAGGAGAACAACATTTTTTGTATTTACTGTTGTATTAATTTTTGTTATTTAACTAATTCATTTACAAGCATTTTTTTCATAAGAAAATGTTGACACGTTTTTAACTTTTATTAGAAGTCTGTATCGGCTAGGCAAATTAGTAGCGATTTAAAACTTAAGGGTTGTAATCCACATAAAAATACCTTCAAAATAAGGTATCACTCGACCCCCCCATTCGATTTAAAATTTTGGGAGCACTTGTCACCCCCGCTAGGGCTTTGCCCTTAGGAGGGCGAAACTAGCAAAAAAAATGGTTCCCCCTTGAATCAAAAATTGACGGGTCCGAGGATTTTTTCGTAAATGTTTTGAGGTTCCCAAAATAGGCCCTGTTTCGTTTTCAAATGTCCACCCTGTATTTTCAAAGGGCAATTTCGTTTGAATCTTTTCAAAATGTGACAATTTTAAGTGAGCAATTTTTCTGGAAATGAAAGATGGTGGTAATTATTCATTTTAGGAAATCTGTCTAAACGTTTATTGAGCGAAATTTTGGATTGTGATCTCTAACAGTGACAGCGTGACAGTTCTTATTATTGAGTAGGTACTAGTTACTAATGACCTGTCCTGATTATTAACCACTTTGAAAAGCTGCCGAGAAAGCCAAGTTTACAAGTGCAACAAAAGGTTAATAATCATGTCATCATAGGCTAGTAGTGAACACAAGTTGGTAAAGTACCTACTGGATGCGTCGAGCTACTTTAAGCGCGTTTTTGTTCGACGAATCAAGGTTTTATTAGTGCTGAAATATAATCTGCTTGCGAGGAATTGTGACAAAAAGCTAACATGTTTCAAACCCGAGCATTCTACGGTGATTCCTTGGGAAGTTATACTTAAGAAATCTTTACAGCCAACTGACCGACTGACCGACCGACCGAAGAGCCAAAGTGAATAACGGGCGATCAAAAATGAGTTGCTTTGGCTTACCAAACCAAAACTGGGACTATACATAGTTGGCAACACACAACACAAATTGCATTGACATTTAATATTTGTAGTATTTGTATGTAATGAAAGATTTCGGTTAAAAAACGGTGCTATGTAATTTGCGTTATAGAAACTGGAGTACAATAAAATTATTGATTTGTATTAAAAACGTAGTGTATAGAAAGCCTGCATTTGTATAGATTTTGATCACGATGGTTCTAAAAGACATGCGCTGAAATTGTCTCGCTTGCACATGACGTCTGCGTGGCATACGTTTGCCTTTCACGTTCCTTTTCGCGAACCGTCTCTCTTCTTCCTCTTTGTGGGGAGTACGCCATAGTTGGCGTTTTAGTGTTGCATCTCTGTGTGAAAATCTTAAAACATCCAACATGGTAAGTGATTTAACATAATTTTATTTATTCAATCTCGTTCATCCCACATCCATTGAGACTTTTAGCCCGTTATTTTTTCAAAAACACGATTTTTTTTGTAAAAATAACGGAAACTCGTTATTGCACAACAGTGTGTAATATTGAAAGCTGTAAATGCTAAGCGCCCTTTGATTTTTCCATTCAATCGTCTCTTGTCCTAGTGACATTCCCACAACGGCGTTACAATTTGATTTGCTTTATAATTTGCTAAAAAGTGTGTTAACACATGCTGTACCAGTGTCATACACATAAATTATAATGGTTTGTAATAATGTACTTTGTCGTTTAATAATTCGTTTGTTTGTAGGTTAATTTTACAGTAGACGAAATCCGTGGCATGATGGACAAAAAACGGAACATCCGTAACATGTCCGTCATTGCTCACGTTGATCACGGCAAATCGACCTTAACAGACTCCCTAGTGTCCAAAGCCGGTATTATTGCCGGTGCCAAGGCAGGTGAAACTCGTTTCACCGATACGCGGAAGGACGAACAGGAACGTTGCATTACAATTAAATCAACGTAAGTGCCACATTTAACAACTGTCGTTCTAGCTTTCTGAAATGATGATTGTTCAACAAAGACCGATAATAATTGAAGAATATAAGAACGGCCAACTGAAGTTAAAACCTGATATTACCTTCGATCTTACCACGATGTAGTCTCATTATATTTTTCTTTTTAGGGCCATCTCTATGTACTTCGAGTTGGACGATAAGGATTTAGTTTTCATTACCAACCCAGATCAACGGGAAAAGGAGGAAAAGGGTTTCTTAATTAATTTAATTGACTCACCTGGACACGTCGATTTCTCTTCTGAAGTAACGGCTGCACTCCGTGTCACCGATGGTGCTTTAGTGGTCGTGGATTGTGTGTCAGGTAATTCTTGCTACTTTTCGATCTTCCTGCACATACGTTCCGCTTCATAGCTCACATTGGTACATTTTTTAAATGTTCCAATTGAGCCCTGTTGATGTCGGGAGTGCAATGGAAGAATATAATTCTAAGACCGTTTTAACGCTGTTACACGACCTCTATCTTTATGTCTGGTTGTAATACGCTTCGACGTTTTTAGAACATTTACTTAATAAAGTAGTGAGCGGATGTTTTACTTAATTTGTTGTAGGTGTCTGTGTACAAACTGAAACCGTGTTACGTCAGGCCATCGCCGAACGTATTAAGCCTATTCTGTTCATGAACAAAATGGATCGTGCTCTTCTTGAATTGCAACTGGAAGCCGAAGAGTTGTATCAAACTTTCCAACGTATTGTAGAAAATGTTAACGTAATCATTGCCACGTATTCAGATGACAGTGGACCAATGGGTGAAGTTCGTGTAAGTACTTATTGCTTGCTACTTCCATGTACTGTTTACAACATTTTTTGGTAGAAGTGGAATCTTTTGTTGAACAAAATAGGTACTGAAGATTAAGGTCTCTTGCAATGCAACACTTGGCAATTTTCGTTCATGTAGAAGTAATCTAAAACTGCCAAAAGTTGTTTATTTACGAGCCACAAATAAAATTGCAAGTGATATAATTTCAATTCTATCAATTTTAAGAAGCTCACGATTCAAAATGGAATAGTGAGATCAAGTATTAATTTAAGAGTTTTTTTTTGCAAACTCGAATTTTGTTATCTATTGGAAAATATTGAATTTATATCTGTCTACAAGGCTGGATAATTTTTTTCAAAAATTCAAATTTTGGTTTTATTATTTTCATGTTATATACCTAGCGCAAATATGTGGTCATAATTTTTGTGTTAAGTACAGGTTTTTCAATGTCAGCTGTTGACCCACAAACTGATACTCCAAATGTATTATGTAAGCACGAATTGATATAGTATATTAAAGTACAAGTGTCATTTGACGAAGATTGTCACACGAGGTAGGTAGCGGCGAATGTGGCAAAAGCCGAGTGCGCCAAGTAGACAAATGACACGTGTGCTTTATACTATTTTTTCTATTTCGACTTTATTTTAAATAATAAATTATACAAATTATAAATATTGCCTTTAGGCGTTGTTAGGTAATTTTAAACTATCATTCAGTGTATGTTGGTAATAGACACAGTTCATTTATTTTCACGTTGGCTAACCTGATTCCTGTATTTTCAAACTTCAAACTTTTAATTATTTGGTCATAATTCCATTTTGCGGCAGTTATGATGAATACGGATGACAAACACGTCTCTTGTACCCCACCAGAGATCCAAGAGATTGCCAATGAAGCGACGTTAAATTTACTGCCTGTAAAATCGAAAGTAAAGTACAAGGAGTACAAAATTTTTGAAAACTGGCTGGCCGAGAAGGGAGTTCAAAAAGTAAGCAAGAATGTATTGCTGGTACTACGCTAAGTAAAACTAAAAAAAGTTCTACCCTTTGGAGTATACACCGTGTCCATTTTTCGAGTGCCACTATGGGGATCTTACTTATCTTAAGAGATAGAAAGTTGGTTAAATGGGGGCAAAGTTGCAAATTTCCGTGCTGAATAAGAATCTGAAAAGAAATTTGAATTATCTTTAATAGTTTTGAAGTTATCGCAAAAAAACGAAAATGTCTGATTTTAGTTTTTAATTTTTTTATGATAACCTAATCGTAGTACCCATTTCTAATTAACACATTATTCGGACACTTTTTAATGGAGATTTCAAATATGGCATCCTGTTTTTAATAACTTTCAAGATGACTGAGAAACACATGGCAACTTTAGTTTTTCTTATGTGCGCCATTTTGAATTTTCACATTTTGAGATTACGTCTTTTTTTCTCTTTATTCAAATTTCGAAAAATTTAAATAAACAAGTTACGGAAAAAACCTATAAAGTCAACTGTAAGAATATACTCAAAAATCGAGACAGCCACAGCCCCTCCTTTCATTATACAGCTTTTATGAAGAAAAGGACGAAAAACAGAACTTTGTTGTTGTTGAAGCACGGAAAATTAACGTGGGGATTCAAATTCTACATTTGTAAACAGTACACTTTTTTTAAAATCTAATTTTCTAAATAATTTAAAAGGAATAGTAAAGCAAATAACTTTTTCTTCAATTGAACAGGTGGACCCCAGCAAGGGTTCGGTAGGGTTCGGTTCCGGTCTGCACGGTTGGGCATTTACTCTGAAGCAGTTTGCCGAAATGTACTCTGAGAAATTCAAGATCGATGTCGTTAAACTAATGAACCGTTTGTGGGGAGAAAACTTCTTCAGCCCCAAGACAAAGAAGTGGGCCAAGCAAAAGGAAGCCGATAACAAGCGTTCGTTCTGCATGTACGTTTTGGATCCCATCTACAAAATTTTCGACTGCATCATGAACTACAAGTAAGTGTTCTTCGGTTCGTTTCGATTTGGGTTAATTGGTGATGAGATAAAACACAGACCTGTTCTGAAAGTAAATTTGTTGAAGATTTGTTTGCTGAACGTCATTTAATAATAGAATGTAGTGGTTCTTCTGCCAGCAAGCGCTAATTACAATTTTCATAGGAAAGAAGAAACCGAACAGCTGCTTTCCAAGCTTGGTGTTGTACTGAAGCACGAAGACAAGGATAAGGATGGAAAGCCATTATTAAAGGTTGTTATGCGTACGTGGCTTCCCGCTGGTGAAGCTTTACTTCAAATGATTGCCATCCATCTTCCATCACCGGTAGTGGCACAGAAATATCGTATGGAAATGTTATACGAAGGTCCTCATGATGATGAGGCGGCTCTTGCTGTTAAGAATTGCGATCCCAATGGTCCCCTTATGATGTACGTGTCAAAAATGGTACCGACTTCTGATAAAGGACGTTTCTACGCATTCGGACGTGTATTTTCGGGCAAAGTAGCTACTGGCCAAAAAGCTCGCATCATGGGTCCAAATTACACCCCAGGAAAGAAAGAAGACTTGTACGAGAAAGCTATCCAAAGAACCATCCTTATGATGGGCCGTTACGTTGAAGCCATCGAAGACGTACCCTCTGGCAATATTTGCGGTTTGGTTGGTGTAGATCAATTCTTAGTGAAAACTGGCACCATTACAACTTTCAAAGATGCCCACAACATGAAGGTCATGAAATTCAGTGTTTCTCCTGTTGTGCGTGTAGCCGTAGAACCCAAGAATCCGGCCGATTTACCCAAATTAGTAGAAGGTTTGTTTTAATTTGTTCTAGTGTCCGATTACGAATGTTTGTTAACAGGTCTTAAACGTCTCGCCAAATCCGATCCTATGGTTCAATGTATTATTGAGGAATCTGGAGAACACATCATCGCCGGTGCCGGCGAATTGCACTTGGAAATTTGCCTGAAAGATTTAGAAGAGGATCATGCGTGTATTCCACTTAAGAAGTCTGACCCAGTCGTATCGTACCGTGAAAGTGTGAGTGAAGAATCCAATCAAATGTGTCTTTCAAAGTCGCCAAATAAGCATAATCGTTTGTTTATGAAAGCTTGTCCCATGCCTGATGGATTAGCGGAGGATATTGACAATGTAATATTCCACGCCGTATTTTCTATTGCTAATAGTTTTAATTTAGGGTGATGTCAACCCTCGGGATGACTTCAAAGTTCGTGCTCGTTACTTAAGTGAGAAATACGATTACGATGTTACAGAAGCACGTAAAATCTGGTGTTTCGGACCTGACGGTACCGGTCCCAACATCCTTGTGGACTGCACGAAAGGTGTGCAGTATCTCAATGAAATCAAAGATTCCGTTGTTGCTGGCTTCCAATGGGCAGCGAAGGAGGTACCGGGGATAACCGGATGGAATTTGTCAAGGTTTTCATTGTTTACATTTTTAGGGTGTGCTTGCAGAAGAAAACTTGCGCGGGGTTCGTTTTAACATCTTTGACGTTACACTCCATGCTGACGCTATCCATAGGGGAGGTGGTCAAATTATTCCTACAACACGTAGATGCTTGTACGCTTGTTTGCTCACAGCGGCTCCCAGAATTATGGAGCCAGTTTACCAATGTGAAATTCAGGTTTGTCTCATACTTTAATTTTTTGTTTTCTTAATGCAGCTTATCTTATAGTGCCCTGAAGTTGCAGTAGGTGGTATTTACGGTGTGTTGAATAGAAGACGTGGTCATGTCTTTGAGGAAGCTCAAGTAGCAGGAACACCCATGTTTGTAGTTAAGGCATATCTACCAGTAAACGAATCGTTTGGTTTCACTGCCGATTTACGTTCGAATACGGGCGGTCAAGCTTTCCCACAGTGTGTATTCGATCACTGGCAAATCTTCCCAGGTGACCCAACGGAACCATCCAGCAAAACTTACACAATTGTCCAAGTAAGTAATCAACCACTCTACTCACAATTTTGTCCACAACCGACAGTGCTACTTCATTTTAAATAAATTAGCATTCGCAGTTTGTGGTAAATTAATAAGTCTGTGTCTTATTATGTGTGGATTCATATAATAACAACGGGCTTGACATTTCTAAACCTTGTAACTCTGTATACTGACTAGTTGTTCTATTTTAGGATATTAGAAAACGAAAGGGTCTGAAAGATGGACTTCCAGATCTTGCTCAATACTTGGACAAATTGTAAGCTGCAAAGTTAGAGCTGTACAAATAAATATTTTACAAGTACTAAGTTGTAATTTAAATAAGTTGATATTAATTTTTTTTTAATTCAAATTGGTCGGAACCGGATAGGAAGATGTCGGATGTTAACAGCGGTACAAGTTCCAAATTGTAAAAATTGCTAATCCGGTTTAATGAAGTGCATTGTACAGTTATTCCATTGCAAGTAAAGTTCTATTGACGGGAGCTTGTTTTATTTTTTTTCTTTTGTTATACCTTTTATACAGGTTAGTTGCATTGTAAATCATAACTTATTATATTTTATATTTGAGTTTGTTACTCATAATTTTAATAAAATGGTTTTGTGATAGATTTGTAGTAATCTTTTCTTAGTCCAAGATCTGCAGACGATGTTAGTATTACTTATGGTAATGTATATCTTTTCAATTTACCTTCTGCTAATTTTTTTTGTTTTTAGTGCTTGCATGTTACCAGCCATTTTGTATGGAGACTCAACACCATTACGGAATCAGGTAATTAGCTTTTATTTAAATTTGTCACGACTTGACCCCATCTAATAAGCCGTCAGTTTTCTGTATCTGTAAGAAAATTGTGTGCTCATGATGGGAAAAGTGAGTCAGTTTTGTGTATGATTTCTTGGCTATCCAAGACTATCAAAGGAAAAACTGGGACAATTTTTTTTTTCATATGATGAAATTCTCAAATGTTCCTTTTTGTTACAGAATATTCATCAAATGCTTTCAACCTGGTGTGTGAGAAGCTGCCGAAATCAACTTGGGTAATTAGCGTATTATTTTATTTGAATAAATTTTCAAATTACGTATGATTAATTTTCGTTACCGCCCCAGTCTGAGGTGTGTATGATTGATTGGTATATTTGTATGATGTCTGCCAACTTTTGTTGGTAATATTAGTATCTGACATACACATGACATGGTATATTTTTGATTTTAGGTGGAAACTAGGTTGGAACGGATCAGCATTGTGTCGTTATACTGCCACCGTGAGAAAGACAATCTCAAGAAACTAGGAACTTCACTTCAAACACTAAAAATCGTTTTGAGGTACTAGCCATAAATTATTTGTCTTTTTCATCCTTTTGTTTAATCAAACCTTTGCCATGTTCCAATTGTGTTTATGATTATTTTCTTTACCGCCCCAGTCTGATTGTGTATGATGATTGGTTTATTCGTATGATAATACTATTCATTTCTATTGCATTTACAATCTCTTCTGCTTGTTACTAAAGTTGATTTTTTATTGTAGGATTGAACTTGGAAGAAAAAACTGCAACACTTTGGTCTCCTACTTGCTTTACAGGTGATTATGAAGTTTTGTATTATTTGCTGTAAGATGCTGCATATGATTATTGTTGTTTACCGCCCCAGTCTGAGTTGATCTGATTGATTGGTATTCTTATGAGAATGCATTGTCTTTTACAATAGTCTTCTTTTATTTTCTACTTGACTAATAAAGCCTTTGTTTCAGAATCACGGTGTCTTGGCGTTACTTAAATAGGTAAATCTTCGGATACATAATTCTTACAGATCAAGAGTGACCGACGTCAATTTCCACTACGCTCTTGCCATTTATTTCAAAATGATACTTGGCATAATTAATTTTCTTGGTGGTATAGTAATTAAGTCTCTACAGTTTCTGTTTTGAAGCTACCAATCTTCTGAGCAGGAATCCAGAGCCTTACAACTTTGATTTGTTTCTTAACATTCTGAATTATATACATATATTTTAAATAAATATTTATTATATTTTGTGTTTTCTTAAATATTGTGGTGTTATAGGCAATAAAAAGTGGCCTATCAAGCATTCTTTTGGACTATTATTATCAATTGGCATATTTTATTTATGGAATTGAAATTAATGTTGTCGATTATATTGGCATAATTGGCAGTTTTTTGCTAATAAAGTGAAATATCGTTTTTTGGCACGTTCAGAGAAATCTGAAAATTTCACCTTTCCCTACAGTAAATGCACAAATTGATTTTAAAAGAAAAATCGGCTGCCTGTAAAACTATATAGTTTTGGGCGATGCGGTTTAAGTATGATTTATTATTAAGAATAACTATTATTTGCAACAGTTGTATGGAATGTTGTGCCTTTTAATAGTATTCAAATTCAACACCCACAAGTAATTCCAATATACATTTTATCTTTCAAAAAACAGTGGCGGATTTAGGATTTGGTCTAGGGAGGGGCGCATACAATTTTTAAAGTAAATATATTTAAAAAAACATACGTTTAAAAATAGAACATTTTTGGCATAATATATTAAACAAACAAGTAATTCTTTATTAAGTAAGAAAAGAACAAACCAGAAAATGGCTAAGTTGCGACCTTTCTTTTTGTCGGCGCAAATCGATTTTTTTCTACTTTTCAAGAAATTTGTCCAATATAGGTATCCTTATGCGATTAGAGCATTGTGCGCAGGTACACCATCTTGTTGAAACCAACAGTTTCCAGAGCTGTGCAAAGCCCTTTTGCAATGGGCTTCATTCCAAAGCCCTCAAATTCCTCTTAGCACAAAAAGGGCTTAAAATTCCAAAGCCCTTTAAAAAAGGCTTAAAGTTACGAAACCTTAAGCTCAAAGCCCTTTGAAATTGAATTGAAATCCTTTTTAAAAATGAATTGAAATCCGTTAGGAAAAGGAATTGGGATTTGGAATTAAAAGAAATTGAAATCCTTGGCAAAGGAATGGAATTCCTTCGCAAAAGAAATTGAAATGCTTTATGAAAGGAAACCGAACTCCTTTAAAGAACGAACTAAAGTTCTTAACTCCTTCGCCTTTCTAGATTTCGTCCCACCAAACAAACAAACAAATAATTACTTAACAAGTTACGTGCATTATAAAAAATAAAATTTTATTCTTACAAAAAATAAGATATAACGAGAATACAGGACCCAGTAGCCGTAACGTAATAAATATAAATAGTTTGCACAAGTGCTGCTTTGGTTTGCTTTGCTTGCTAGTGCATAATTGTATTATAATTTAGTTAAGGTAGATACTTACACTTTATCCCATTAGAGAATAACAACACCGCACGCACTAACAGTTCTACGTACTGCAAAGTGCAAGCTCACAAAAATTGGAAATAAAAAATGATGTGGGAGTGGGAGGCATATAAGGAATCCTATAAGGGCCTTTTTAAAAGGGTTTCAAGCCTATTAAAAAGGAATTGAAGCTCTTCAAAGGGAATTACATCTTTAAAATGGAGTTTTCAATGAAAAAGTGATTTCAATTCTTTTAAAAGGAATTTAAGCTCTTTGTCTGAAATCCAAAGCCCCAAGCACACGCGAAAAGGCTTTAGACGTAAATTCCAAAGCCCTGTTTTTAGAAAAGGCTTGAAGCCTTAGAATTGCAATCTCTTTTAGAGCTTGAGGTTTTTCCAAGCCTTTTGTACCAATTCCTTTGCACAGCTCTGACATGACAGTTTCCACCTTTTGTTTTCTTGTGTGTGCCGTACATCGTTTTATTCGTAGGAAAAAATGCTACTCAATATGATACGATTAAGAATTGGAATATATGTCTTTTCCAATAGTCACTAGGTGACCGCCTGTGTAACTACCACTGTCTAGGATTGTCTAGGAGGGGGCGGTCGCCCCCTGAGCCCCCCTTTAAATCCGCGCCTGCAAAAAAACCCGCATAAATCCGATGGATTTAAACGTTGAGTTTTAAGTAAAGGGTTTTTTTTACTCAACGGTTTGTCATACTGACCATTTTATTGATCCTTTTGTCCCAATCTATAAAATCAAACAATTGACGCGTTATGTGTTAAGACAGTCCAGTTAAATCTTCATCTATCGTTGGTTGACAATTCCTTGATTTTGTGTACATATTTCCAATTATTTTTGGGCATCGGCCTAATTCGACCAATGCTTAAATAATAAATCCCATAAATAATAAACCTCTACCACAGCGAAATATCCTCGCGCTTGAGTAGATACGGAATTTGTTATTGGGGTCATTCATAGTTCGCTAGTAAGGTATTAGTTGCCCAAAAAAAGATTGTAAGACAAATTGCTGGCGTTAGTTGTACAACGTCATGTAGGTAGACTAATTTTTAAAAGTTTTCAAATATTAACATTACCAAGTATGCTAATATATGAACTTAGTATCTATATCTTCGCAAACAAGAATGATCACACCTTAAAGATATACACAACCACAACACCAGGACAAAAGACAACCTGTATCTCCCGAAAGCAGCATTAAAAGTATCGCAACACTCTCCTGCGTTCCTGGGTCCACAAATATATAACACTCTACCGCAATATATAAAAAGTTCCTGTAACCGTAAATGTCAACTTAAAACTTAAATGAAAATTGTTTTACTCCATGCATCGCCGAATATTTCAAATTTTGTAATGAAAAGTAGTATGTTGAATTGTCTATTTTATGTATCTAATGTTTGTCATAGTTTAATGTCTCATTAATTTTTTGTCATATACTTATACTTGACGCTTCCTATACAATATCGAAGGAATTATAAATAAATCAATCAAAAGTTATAGACTAGAAACCAATTTCTAAAGAAAATTCAAAGGGCTGTAACTTTTGAACTAGCAGCCCAATCTTGAAACTGTTTGAAATTATGGATTCTACAGGCCACATTCTATAAGAAAAAATTGGGTCGATCTGAGACAATTTTTTTTGAGGGCCTCAAAAAAAGGCAAAAAAAAGTTACACAGCATGGAACCTCTATATTATTTACTCTATGTCTCTACTTATGTAAAATTCACTGAGGATAGGTTGATGAAATCTAAAAACAAGCATCCAGTTGAAAATATTTCCTTTGAAAGCAAATATAGCAAGCTAATACATTGATTTTATTTCAGACTTCCTCTACACAATGTGATAATTGTGGAAAAACGTTTTCGTGGAACAGGCACAGAATGCATCAACGCGCTTGCAAAAAATACAATATAGGGGTGAGTGATATTTTTCTTTTAAAAAGTGTCAATAACAAGACAAAATGTTACAATGTAAACTTCTACTCCTGCAAATGTTAAAGAGTTTATTGACTTCACGATTAAGTTATTTTAATTCAAAGACTGAGTATATACGATTTTATACTAACAGACTTTACTCGCAGAAGTGTTGAGGAGCTTTTTGCACTACTAGCTGTCTATGTACTGAGGTCGAGGTACAGGTAATTCAGTTTAGACTGAAGTTTCAAGCTTAATAAAAAAAATAGACTGCACCAATATAGACAACGGGCGACAAAGTCACTTCCGGTTGATGAATATTGATCAGAATTTAACTAATTAGTACCTTGACCATTGTTTATACCTACTGCTAAAAACAGAATTTTAACTTTTAATGAAAAAGCAGAAAAAGGCCTTTTTCTGCACGGATTTATTATAAAGAAATGACGAACTGCGTCTTTAACAAAACAAATAGGTTTGACTGCTCGTAAATTTAGCCAAAAAATGTACCTAGACGCTCTTTTCTGTCGTTATAGATAGAATTGAAAAACAAATCGATTTCGTTACTGGTAGTAAAGGGGATTGTTTTTTTGACCAACTTACTTTACCATTTTCTCTTTCTCTGATAAACGAAATATCGTAAAATATCAGATTTTGTATTATATACATATAAAATATCACACAAATATCTAGGAGTTAAAATATAAAACAACGATATCCATAATTGGCGGCTATGATTGCTTCATTCTTGGAAACGTACATTTCTTTTTGAATATAGCCACCTAAAATGAGAAATTCGTCAATGCGGAATTATTACCTACCCTTTTCGCTCACATGTACAACAAAACAGCCGGAACAGTAATACAAATGCTTGCCAGAAAGAAAGCCTGAGGAAAATAGCTAATTGTTCCTTTATACAGGGCGCTATACATCGGTCCACATATCAAACCGGTCAGAGATTCGGCGAAACCAAACAGTGAATTAACTTTACCTGAGGAAATCGCAATTAAAAGAGCCAAAACTTATTACCTACCTAGGCAAACTTACACAAATCCTGTTGGTCAACTAGTTTCGTAATTATTGATCGGGAAGCTACGAATGCCGTACCATTAAATATCTCTGCTATTGCAGCTGAAGTAAGGAAATAAAGTATGTGTTTATCCTGTTTCTGTGCACTTACCCAAATAAAACATCAATGGCGTTGTGGAGAGTACGTAAATAATTCCCCCACAAATTTTGCTTATGCTGGAAAGAGCTCCTAGTAGACCGTCGTCATAATTCAGCAATTTAAATGTTGCTATAGCGATTATATTTCCTAAAAAATTGCATTTGGTATACGATGAATGAGATAACGTGTACGGGGCAAAATATTGCCGCAATTCGAAATATTTGGAGGTACTATTGGGGTTTTACTTAATGACCCCATGACATAGACAATCAACATACCTACTCGAACAATTTGCATGTGGAAAATTAATATATTATTAACGTTTTATTATATACTCGTATAAATTCAATGCTCGTACTACGTTTTTTATAGAATGCCATCATTTGTATTTACCTATTATTAAGCACCTAAAACATTCTTTTTAGGATAGTATTTCATTTTTGTTAAATATTCATTTCTCTCCCTGTCAAAAGCAAGCTAACATTGTTACACTGTTACGGACTGTTGGGAACGCGCTTTTAGTGCAGTATCAAAATAACTGTAACTTTTAGTGGTCATTGATTTGTATTTGTAATGGAGGTGGTACTTGGTAGATCTACTTACCAACAAACGCAACAATGCAGCAATAAGTAGTGAAGATACTAAAGTCGATTTCTCCCCAACCAAACTTAAATCGTACATATAAATACCTCACAGCCGATTCTCCTAGAAATTACAAAAAATAACACACTTATAGAACCGCATGCGCAACTGCTTTAGACCATGTCTTCCAATTAAATAGAAAGTGCCGACTGTAGGTACTAACTTACCCGCAAAGGGTCCTAGCACCAGCACAGCTAAAATCATTATCGTCAAAATCTGTTTTAGTCGACCACTCTGTTTTGCTGTTACTAAGAACTTGAAACTGTACATGGTTTGCTTAACATTTAAAATATCTTTTATATGTTGAACCGTCGTCAATTGCTTTTCGTCACCGGACGAGATTTCACTGACCAAAAAGTGCGCATAAAGTCCTGCCAACGCGTAACCAACCAGAGATAATGCGAAGATTCCATAAAATCCAATTAATTTGTACATCACTCCACTTAATGAATTTCCTATTGTTATACATACAAACCATGTGGTATGAATAATTCCAATTCTTAGTGTTCGGTTTTTGGTGTCACAAACCGACGTGACGTATGTAAATACACCGAGCAGTATCATGTTTGAGCCTCCCGTAATAGCAGTCGGAAGAACCTCAACCAACACATTGACTTCCATGGGCAATTCGTAGAAAAAGAATGTACATAGTATTAGTCCAATGTTCATCACAATTTCCCCAATAATAGGTAGTATCATCAGCACTTTCATAGTTTTCTGTCGGTCACTCCAAGATCCAAATAGTGGTAGTAAAATTGCGGGAAATACGCTCTGAATAATGTTTTTCCAAACGTATGCCGAGGCAACGACTTTGTGCACGGTGATTTCGTCCGTGTCATTATAACCCGTAGTATTATGTCTTTCAATTGCATCGCACGTAGACAGTTCCATATTGAGATTGACCCGGCACGCTTTTTCCAAACTTAAATTTTGAATTGTAAGTGAAGACATCCAAAATGGTAACGCAAACAAGATTAACACCGGTTCGACAGAAATCCCATTCCATATTTTGCAAATTGTATCCTTTATGGCAGATATTTTCGAAAACTTCTGAGCACCCACTTGCAGTTCCATATTCCTGAAAAGATATTTAGTTGAACTGATGGCTGATACTTCATGTGTATACTAGTAATAAGTAATAACATTGTTGTTGTGCATAGATAACGACTAATGATGTTGACTCACGGTCTTCCACTCCAAAACGAAGAAAGTCCAAGAATGCAGGCAATACCTATGCCTATCTTGGATAATCGGATGTGATCATTTTATTCACAGACACCTTTCGTACACTTTTATTTATAATCTGCCTTGAGCATATTCGCAAAGTTAAACTGACCTTCATTCTAAATAGGCAGGTAATTAACATACTAAATTCCGCAAAAATAGATATTTTCAATTGTACCAGGACTGTACCTATACTCTTTAACGTACGCTTTCTCATTATAGAAGAGTCGTTTAGTTGGAAAACTGGTTTGGTACAAATTATGTTCTTATTGAAATAAACGCGTTAGAACATTCAACTTTCACTTAGATAAGACAAAATCCGACGCCTCGCAGTACAATTTCTTGTAATGCTAAAAGGAAAGCTAGTACGATGCTTCTTTGTATATCGACTTTGTGTACCTACCTATATGTACATGGCAAAGTATTTAAACAATGGTACCTACTACTTTATAAAAAAAGTACCTTAGTACCGCTGACTATTTAATTTATAGCGTACAATTTATAAATAAGTTTTGTTACCAAATAGCTTACCCATCTGAATAAATGTTCCGTAGAATGTAGAAAGTTAAATACCAAAACATAAAACCACTTTCAAAATAACACTCATCATATCTAGAGAAAACCTAAAACACACTAGACTGATTCAGTGATTCAGTTGCTCGTAGGGAGGAATAATTTCTATGCCTACACCTTGTACTTTCTCTGTCATGAAATTACTTATAATATTTCATTGCCCACAACTCATGGTTCTTGGTTTGGGAGTAGTCAAAATGTTGACCGAAAGTTAAAACTATACACAAAATATGCTCTCTATAGTTGTGCAAAATACAACACTTTTTACTTTATTGCGCTGGTAACAACACAAACTTAGTTTTGAGTTTGTAGCTAAATTTGCACTGAACGATACATTTTCATTTATGAACATGGTGCATGTTTTTGATACATTCTCAAAGAAACAACGCTTTGAATTGTCTTCAAATCGTTTCCCACGACCTCGTATTTAAATAATGTATTATTTTATAAAACTTTAAGTGTATAGATTGCGTTCAAAATACTGATTTCAAATAATGGATTTAGGTTTATATTTATAGTACAATACATAAATTTCTAATTGCTACTTGTATATGGCCAACGACAACCCCTGGGTTTGTGAGTTCAAGGGTGAAAGAGTTTTTCCAAAGTCGCCTGATTTGAATGTGTCAAAGTAAATTATGCCAATTAATTAAAGTGCCAAGACACTTGCGTTCAGGATAATTAAGTGGGACAGTTCTGTCTTAAAAATGGTGACTTTACTATTGTTAATGGAGGTGAAACAATTGCGTCCCAAGATAAAATTGTTATACCTCAAAGAAAAGTGACATTGAAATTATTTCAAATCGATTCTTGGCACAATTTTGAAACTCATATGAACAACAGTTTTTATGAAAAGTAAACAATATTTTTATTCTTGATTCTTTAATTATGACTAGGTAATTTGCAATAGTTATATACATAACTAGTATGTAATTAAGGTTGGCCCTAGGGTTTGCCTTCCCTTTAATGCCTCAGAATTGTTGCATTTTTTTGCTACCTACATTTCGTACCTACATGATAAACTTAGTTATGGTCTGTCCCAGAAGTATAAAATGTAATAAATTGAGATTATGAATTATGACTATTTTTTATGAAGCGGCCATCTTGTAAGAATATCATTTCTTAAATACAGTCGATTCCGCTTAATTGAACCAAACTAATCTCTGGTGTCAATTTGTATTTCAATGTTATTGCAAATAGTTGTTAGACCACCAATAGTATACATTCCAGGTAGGTAGGTATATTTCTATCATCCTTTTCAGTTTTACATATTTTCTTCATTATTAAACACAACAGAGTACAGACCATGTATAATAATCGAGAACTAATTATGTAAACAGGTTTATCGAACAGCAAGTAAATGACAATTGCGTCTGTTTTTTTTAATTAAATGTAAAATAACAACCAGAAAACTGTATCATAAAAATAATTATGCCTCCGACTAGCGTTTTGGCTAGTGTTTCGGTTAGCTATTAAATGCTACCTTTTCACTCTCCTGGCTTACACAAAAGATCTCCTGTTCGTTAGCTGAAATTTGACTACAAATGGGGTTCTTTGACTTTGTACTGTCCAGCAAGTAATAACTCCTAAGTAGCAAATTATAATTGTATATTGATCAAAACTCAGAACAAATTGGTCAAATGATTTATAGATTTTTATAATAATTAGGTAGACGTGCATGAATTAACTATACCCTTTTACGCATGGTAGATCCTGATAAAAAACATTTGGAACACCCAAAATAAATCACCGATTAGCTTAATCGAACAAAAATATTTAAACTTACCTTATTATTCTCGCTTGGATAACATTAATTTTTTATTGTCCTTTGACCTAGAAAAGCTGCTTGCGTCGGACCCATACATACATTAACATAGGAAATCACTAATCGATCTTGTCGATAATGAAATTCAAAAATACAAAATGGTTGAGTATAGTGATTTATATTCCTCCACACACAAAGTAAGGTACTAACCTCGTTTTCATAATTTGGGTTTATGTAACATTCAAAATAAAATTATAAAGTATATAATCGATTGTGTAATAAAGATTACAATAGTAAAACCCTAAGTATTCACTCTCACAGCTAATTTGACCTTCATTTTGCTGAAAATTGAACGTTAATCTCCTCCAGCTAGGAATCGATGACCAAGTGTTGTGGAATTTCTCGAATCGGTTCTTTTTTAATATATATTTTGGCGGGCAGTCAACAGCTGTTAGTGTTAATGGGCCAATCGTCTATTGACATGCTGGCTGCCTGTATGTGCTCTTGATAATTGTCTAGGGCATGATGTTTAATTGTAATTTTATGCGGGCGATGGGTAGAATAAACTGTAAATGGTTTGAGATAAATTGTATTATTTCTTGTCTGTGTAGAGTTAAACCATTGGCGGTCCATAAGGCTAATTTAATTTCTTTATTTTATAACCGTAAGGGTAGATAAAGTGAAACAGATGAGTGTGCATTTTAATGACATCTGTCATTCTTATTTCAAATGCACGATATAAAACATGTCCTTACTTTTTATAGATTTTTATTTTTGTATACTTATTTTTTATTATTTTGTCGTATTGTATTATAGTATCGTCTAATTTCGTGACGTAAAAAATTCGATCTTCATAGTCCCCGCAATATTAAATTGCAAGGAAGATGATTCTACGAAAATTACAGAAAGTTCTACGAAGATTATAGATAAGAATTCTGAGAGTTCTGAAGAGTCTAAAGGTTTCAAACCTCCCAAGAAATGTTCTGTAGAAATTCTAATCTATAATGAATCTAAAGGTTTTGAAGATTCTAATGGTTCGCATGATTTTCTAGAGGTTTTGAGAGGGTTCTAAAAATATTCGGAAAAAAACATTAGTTTCGTTGAAATCGATCCGTTAATACTGTTACAATTTAATAAATTAAAATCGAGTCCACCTTTTTCGATGACACTGTATAAGAGGTAATAAAGAATCATAATCTTATCACGCGTGTTGTTCTTGTTATGTATTACCAAACCATAACGAAATCAGTTTACTCAACGGTACTACTTATTTATTTTCTATATTTATAGTATACATTGATAATGATAATTATTGCTGTGTTGGCAATAGCTCATTACATCTTCAGGCAACTTGTTCCTCGTTAGACTAATACCTCGGTCTGTTAATTTATAATTGTTCACATAAATTAATATTTCCTACTATTTTTATGCAGTTATATAACACATACATTTTCTAGGTAGAAAAGGTAGTAAGTACCTACTAAACAACATTCAATGGTACTTATCTCCAAGGTTATCACTCGCTAGACTGTACATACATTTACTATTTAACACAAATCAAACCATTACGAAATTGTAATTGTTATATAGTTCATTTTGAAGACTAGAGTAGATGAACAACTAATTCGGACTTCCTTAAAGAATTTTTGTTGATGCTAGCTTTGTTGTATAATAAAAATGGCAACAGAACAGTTCCGTATATCCTTCAAAACGTGGAATCTAGACACTGATAGAATATATTCATTTGATAAAGCTTTTTTTCGTTAGTGCGATCTCGTGTAGTAGGTACGACTTCTGTAATTGATGACAAAATATTCACTTTCGGAACTAACATTTTGAACGTAAGTAGCACTTTCTAATTTTATTTATTATGCAATGCAAAATATGGTACTGGTATTGTGTACATACACATTCGACTGCGAATTTGATCTCGACGCGATTTATCATTTGATAATATTTAGGTAATAATTTAAACGTCCACAAGATAGCACATGTATACAATATGTTCAAAGTAAAGTCAGCATATTGCAGGGAGGGTATAGCTATAGGTTATCTTATTATCTAGTTAAATATTTATATCATTTATCGTATAAGAGAAATCGCTTATTGGGTCATATTTTACAAGGGGATACCTTCGGGTGGATCTCGAAGAAATAAATTAAACCAAGAACTAGAAATCATCATAGAGTCACATTGTCATAACTTTGTCGCCGGTCGGTGCAGAGTACACCTCTTTGGGGGCCCAATTTCAGTTTCACATCAAAGTCTATAGTCGGTCCGTGCAGAGTACATCTGGGGGGCCAATAATTCCCATTCTGATTGAAGGCCGTGACCCGAACGTATGGAAGTAGTTAGTAACTTTTTTTAATACCAATTATGCCACATATTACAAGATGATGAAACGCATCTTTTAGCATTGTTCTGTTTTCGATCTTCACTGACATCATTGGCTGGAAGATGGTCGGCGCGCCGGTACCATATTGCATTGCATATACTAATAATTTACCCTTTATTAGTCCCTTTTTTCAGAAATCAATATGGAATTAGAAGTAGAAGCAAGCAAACCTCCACGAAAAGGAACTATTCGTCAGCGAATCCACAAACTAAGAAGGGGCATAACCGTCGAACCATTCTTGATATGTTTTTGTTTACCTTATTCCATGTCGGCGTTAACGATACAAAATTTAAGTTTAGAAAAGGCCTGTCGCGTGAATCTTAACCTGAACACTTCGGTATGTGATGCGATCCATCAGCATATCGATGACGCTTACGATAAAGTTGACGAGATCGCTGTGCAAAAGGTTGTTGCGTCTGCATACGTTTGGAAAAATGTTATCTTCAGTGTTTTCCCCGCGATCTTGCTACCCTTGTTGGGATCTTGGAGTGACCGGCATAATACTCGAAAGGTGTTGATGCTCCTGCCTATGGCCGGTGAAGTAATTACCAATGTCGGTTTTATTTTATGTACTTTTTTCTTTTACGAACTGCCGATGGAAGTAAACACGGTGGTTGAAGTGCTTCCCACCGCGATTACGGGAGGTATCAATATGTTACTGCTTGGTGTATTCACCTACGTTGCCTCCATCAGTAGTATAGAAGACAGAACGTTTAGACTTGGAGTCATACATATTTTATACGGAATAAGCACAACAGTAGGATATGCTTGTAGCGGAATTGTGTACACTTTAATAGGATTTTATGGTGTCTTCGTATCGTCTTTAATAATGTATGCATTAGGAGGACTGTATGCATACTATGGAATTAATGAAGCGCCGTGCAATCGGCCGGGACCACTTTCTAAATGTGCACGTGTGAAGGATATGGTCAATGTGAAACAAACTCTGACCACATTCAACTTCTTGTGGAATAGACGTCGTGCAGCTCAATCGAAACAGATTTATTTAATTCTAATTTTGGCTATTTTAGTTCTGGGACCAGGTCAAGGTAATTTTCTTCATGCAGGCAGCATAAAGTTTCCCCTTTTACCACTAAGGAAAGGAACTCAAATGCATTCAATTAAAATGTATCAG